CTCTCTCTCTCTCTCTCTCTCTCTCTCTCTCTCTCTCTCTCTCTCTCTCTCTCTCTCTCTCTCTCTCTCTCTCTCTCTCTCTCTCTTCCCCCCCAACCACCCCCCGCACACACCCGTTTCATTTCCCATCGTTTTGTTTTACTTTCAACTTTCAAGTTTTTTTTTTTTTTATAACTTTATTTTAAACTCAGTGCTATTTCGTACGTGACCGGTCCTCCAACGGCCGACCCCCTGAAGTTGCGGCCGTTGATGTGCCGCGACTCAGAAAAAAAGGCTGGCCAAGGTACGGGTGGTTTAACTGTTAAGGTGTGAAGCGAGTGTGAATATTGACATCCTCGCTCGGAGTTCCCTGTTGTAGTCCAGGACCACGAGGTCGGATCAAAAGCAAGCTTATCTATTGGTAAATGTGGGTCAAAGGCCATGCATTGCTCTTTTCGTTGAAGGACTCTTATCCCAAACAGTTGATTTAGACTGGATCCATTCAGTTTCTTCCGGAAGAACGTTTTTACAACATTTTTCTGACCTATAGAATACAATGTGATAAGAACTCCTCCGTTTGGGTGAATCAAGACGAGGTCCTCCATTTGGGTGAATCAACACCTCCATTTGGGTGAATCAACACCTCCATTTGGGTGAACGAACACCACATTCCCCACCTGTTCCGCTATAAGGCTATGCTTTTTTTCCATTAATTGATGTTTTATAATAAAACACCACTTAAAAAAAAAAAAAAAAAAAAAAAAAAGAAGAATAAAACACCACTTCCTTTCACAGGCAAACTTTGCAACAAAGTCGTCTACTCCCGCACTCTTCAGGGGCTCGGCCTGCCGGACCTCTCTGCTGGCTGCAACCAGCCAAAAAGGAAAAAAAACGAGCACTGCACCGGTTCGTTTTGGACTTGGCATGCATCGCAAAAAATACACCAAACAGACTCCGAGGTAGTGGTGGTTTAAACCGCCAGTACGTTTCCCAGCCATTTTTCTCCGAAGCACAGAGTGCATGCGGCCACAAGTTTCGGCGGTCAGCCTACCGGAGCAAAATGGCTGCCGGTGCCAGCCAAACGAAGGCCCACTCCGGTTTAGTTTTTTTGGTGCATGCTGCACAGGGAGTTTCCAGCATAGGGGAAAGGAAGTACCTGTGCATTTGATTGGAATTTGGAGATCTTTAGTAATAAAATGCCACAGGAAGCTCCGCAGTACTGGTGGTTTAAGAAAGGGAAAGACAAGTTATTGTGGGGCTTGAGAATGGTGAATGACGTATGTACCTGTAGCATTTGATTTGAGATCTTTTGTATTCAATTTTCGAAGGTTTTGAAATTTGAACCCTCGACGAGTCCAAGAGGAAAAGTCACTACAAACCATCACTGGTAAGAAAGGATGGAGATACAAAATCCAGTGAGTTCATGGGAGTCAAGAAGATGACTGAATCACCACCACTTTTGCGCCGCGTCCTTCTTATGACAAGAAAAATGAGCAGAGGTTGTTGACAGCAAACAGCAAGATGAAGTCCAGAGTACTGTTCCCCCCCTTCCCCCCCCTTTTTGTTGAAAGCATTGGGAGGGCATCCTTCTTTAGGAGGGCTGGTAAGAGCAACCTCCAAAAGTAGGATCGCCCAGTTGAGACGGCTCCCATCTATTGTTTGTTTGTTTGTTTGTTTGTTTGTTTTTGTTCATTTCTGGCCATTGGCCTTCACAAATGAAAGTCAGAAATGGAGAATCTGGGCAATTGTTACTGAATTGACTGCACTGTTTTTTTTTTTTTTTTTTTTTTTTTTTTTTTTTTTGATTGCACTGTTACCGAGGGGTGTTCACCATACTAGGAAGAAATTCAATGTGCAAAACTCCTGTAAAGGGGAACCTACAGGCTTTTCGTTTTTTCAAACATCAATGGGGGCGGCACCCTGGTTTTGTAGGTGATAGGAGCACGCTCCAAAACCAGGGACGTTCGTCTGGGAGGGCTCGGATCTATCAGTGGCGAGCAACACCTGCTGGAAATCGGGTCCACCGTTCCATGACGTGGATGAAATGCATGAAGACAAGCAATTTAGACAAGAAGGAGACAGAGTGGGAGAAACAGAGGGGGAGAAGGGCGAATTCACGTACCAGACTGAGTAACACCCACTCGACGTGGATGAAATGGATGCATGAAGACAGGCAAGATAGACAAGAAGGCAACTTCCGCACTCAGTACGTGTACTCGACTAAAATGCTGTGTCTGATGAAGTAAGGAGTACTAATGTCGTCCTTCGGGACATCCGTTAAAATTGGAACGATACAGAGAAGATTAGCATGGCCCCTGCGCAAGGATGACAAAAAGGGGGGAGGAATGAAGGAGAGGAAGGGGAGGAAAATAATAATAATAATAATAATAATAATAATAATAATAATAATAATGTAAAGGATGGACTTTTGTGGGTAGCTGCGTCACCCACCACCTTTCCCTATTGAAAACCTGCAGATTGGTGGGGATCCAAGAAAAAGAGTGGGAAGAGGATCTTCTGGTTCAGAAATTCCTGGGCAAAAAAGCAGGCTTTTGTGTCAATCGCCCCAGAGGGCTCTCTGATCTTCTCGGATTGGTTACACCCAGCATTAKGTAGAGTGAGGGCAGATGGCTAGAAGCAAGAAAGCCAAAGTATGGATATTTATTAGGCAGATGCCAATTGTCCTYTGAGCCTGAGCAAGTTAGTAGACCTCCTGGGACGTTGGAGGAGCAATTTTGAGGTYTAGTCAGGAGGATCTACCCCCTTTTTTTTAGACAGAGCTTTAAGGTTATATCATTCGTCCTTTTTTGGAAAGTTATTTGTGATATTTGGGACACTGAGCCCGGCTTTTAGAACGATTTCCTGGAGCAGGCATAGAGGTGACATTGAAAGCGAAACTGGCTAAGGCTGCCAGGATCTTTCCGGGTTGAATTGTGAGACCCCCGGCCTCATCCCATTTATTTTGCAATATAAAGTTCTGATGCTTTTTCCAAAAAAAAAAAAAAAAAAAAAAAACCCTGCAATAGCACCTCTCCCGCTCGGTCTCTGAGGCCCGCACTCCTGTTGTTTGAAATTTGTTCAAGGCTCAAGCTATGGGCTCTTTCCAAGAAAGAAATAAAGTTTTATGAACTACTGACCATACTCTGCAGAGTTCTCGAGAAGATCCTGAAGCTTGGTCATACTGGCTACTGGGGCAGGACCATAATGCCGGGAATCATGACCCATAACTATTTGTCCCTATTTGTCTGAGTCCGAGCTCTGGAACGACCTTGGCATTTAAAAAACAAAAAGAAAAAAAGAAGAAAAACAAAAATATTATTTTTTTAAGAAGACTGGCTTTGTCCTACATGCGGGGAGCAATCTATGTTGCAAGACAGCCTGGAAAGCTCGTTGGCTGTCTTCGGTAGCATTTCCAATCATCTGTATGTGCATCATTCATGGGTGGATGAACAGCCCTCTAGCGAAGGCAAAGTGGGGCCCCTGGACACTATGGGTGGGTGTACTACCCTCTGGGGAAGTTTATGTGAGGCCCTCCGGAAACTAAGGGTCACTCCCCCCCCACTGGCGATATAGTGGCCAGGTTTAGCATGAACCTGGGCATAATAGCAGTCAGGTTGATGCTTTCCAAGCATGAACATCGCACCAAGGGGTCTGGCTCTGATGCAAGCAGTTTCACACACTATTTTTCCAGTGCAGCAAGATTTCCCAACATCTTGGTAGAGCTGACTATAACATGAGTTACCCTCCAAAGGCAAAGTGTCATCAAATACTTGAATGTAATTTCATAAGGGATGCTGAGCCCGGTTCCCAGCATGTGCTGCTCCCCCCAAGAATAGATTGGAGCATTTTTTTCTTTCAAAAAAAACAAACAAAAGTGAGCTGTGCAGACTTGACCAGCTCTGCTTTACAGACATCATGTTTCTTTTGTCCTTTTTTAGAGTTTTTTTGCTTTCCAGATTTCTGGTTGGATGTTCGATGACCTTTGCTCGTATTGTTTACAGCAACCTTGTGTACTGTTTGTTTATGCGGGATCTTCTTTTTGTGTGTGTCGG